GCACCCCCTCCAGAACCCAGAGCCTGCTCTCATGCCCTTTCCTCAGAGGCAGTTTAGTGTAAAGAAACTTACTTTTCCAGAGCCATTTGACACTCCATCATCCTGAAATATTTTAGTTTACATTTCTTAAAAATAAAACATTCTCTTTCCTAAATCGGGACATTAATGCAAATAAATTACTGCAGTGTAACCCTTAGACCCCACTAGAATCTAGCAAGTTGTTCTGATAATGTTCTTTATAGTAAAAGGCGCCAATGCAAAGTCTCAGGGCATTTTGCTGTCGCGTCTCTTGTCTCCCTCTGTTTTGAAATGGTTTTTCCTTTTCCTTGCCTATCATGACCTTGATGCTGGGAGATTGCAGACCAGATGTTTAGCAGACTATCCTTTAGTTTGGTTGGTCTGATGTTTGTTTCCTCGTGATTAGATTCAAGTTAGAAGTCGCTGGCAGAAATGTCATAGAAGTGATTCTGTGTCCCGTCTCATCAGATGGAACATGATTTCACTTCGCCCACTGTTGATGGCACTCACTTCAGTCAGTTGATTAAGGTGCCATATGGAGAGCTCTGCTGTCAATTGACTATTTTCCCTTTTGTAATTAATATGTATTTTGTGAAGAAGTATTTGAAGATATTAAAATATCCCATATGTCATAAAATGTTTAATCAATAGTGAATAAATGTAAACTTACAGTTTCCTAGTTTGTTCAAAGTATTTTAATGAGTTACTGTCATTATGTATTTTGATGCCAGAACTGCTCTGAGTTTGGCCACTGGGAGCATCTTCAAGTTGGTTTAAGCATTTCATTGCTTTCTGGCACAACAGTATTTTTCAGGCTCATCTTGTACTCTCTCCATCTGAGCCTTGGAATCAGCTATTTTCCTAAGGAAGCCTGGTTCATTTTAATGCAGAGCTCTGTTTAAAAGTCAAGATCTAGTTGCTATGTGTTCATTGATGTTGGGGTGTCACTGCTCCCAGGTCATCAGTGGACAGATCTAACGAATACAAATGTACATTTATGTTTGTTTGCCTATCACTTTAAATATATTAAAAACCATGAGTTTACACCAATTCTTCCAATTCTAATGCAACACTGCAGGGTTCATTCTGGGCTTCTCCCTTTTTGTGTTTGTAACTCCATTCTCTGAGGTGAGAAACCTTGTTTCTATTACCTCTTCTGTAATACCGGTGATCAGCTCCCCTGTATGTAGCCCAGCTTCTGTATTCTTGGCCAGCGCCTCCCCGCTAAGGGTTCAGTCCTCAGCAGCAGGACGCCCCCCCCCCCACCTCACATGACCACTCTCCTCACCCCACCCCCACATGGGGACGCCCCCCCACTCATGGTCCTGGCCATCGGGCACCCTACCTTTCACCGCACCTACAGCTGGCACTGGAGCCTACATTCCTTAATTGACCCACTGGCTTTAGGCCTCATTTGTTCAGAGAAAGGGAAAAGCGAATGAATATTTGTTTTTTGTAATCAACCACTTCACTGAATACTCTAGTGGGTTTCCAGTCTATGCAGTTCTGCTTTCTACTTATTTGGTTATAGCATTGGCAATGATTTATTGTTTCTTTTTTCCAATTTTTGTAACTTGTGAATTTATTTTACCAAGTTGTGTTGCTCAGTATTTCCAGAAATGTGTAGCACTAGTGGATAGTTTTATCTTATTTCTGAATTTATGCTATTTTTTCTAGTGTTTCCACATTGAACATGATTCTGTTTTTTGGTTTGATAAATTTACCAGGTTAAGAATAGAAACTTTTTTTCTACTTAAATTATTTAAAAGCAATATTGAATTTTATTAAATACTGTTTTGTGTACCTATGGAGATTATGCTCTTTTAAATTTTGAATTGTGGTAAATTATATGGTTATATTTCATAATTGAAATTTCGAATTACTTCAGTGATCTTGGTTGTGTGATATTACTCTGTTGCTGTGTTTGTGGTACCATATACTTATAATATTCATTTTTTACTTAAAGGAGATCAGTCTCTGGTTTCCTTTTACATGTTATTATTGTCATATTTGAGTATCATTGTTTAGCTTGTTTCATCAAAGAAATTTGGACGCTTTTTTTTCTTTGTGTTCTGAAACATTTAACTGCCATTAGGATTATTGCTTTCATAAATACTTGATAGAATTCACCTGTGATAATACCCTGTTTGGTTATTTGGTGCATTTATGTGTGTATATGTGTGTGGCAGAGCCAGAGTGTGGTGAGATTATTCTCCATGTCTTTCAAGGCAGTTGATTCATTTAGATTTTCTCTCCCTTCTAGGGTCAATTTAGGTAATATTCATTTTCTTGAAAAAAATATTTTTATTCAGAGTTTTAATTATTTTAGTAAATAATTGTGTAAAATACTCTTGATTTTCTTTATAATGATGTTCATAGTTATTTACCAATTTTATTTCTGACATTGAGTACTTATGACTTTTTATTCCTGTTTAGATATGCCAGTAGTTTTTTCCTTCAAAGAATCAGTTTTTGAATTTGTTTACTTTTCTACAGTTTTCTACAGTTTTTCCTTTTTCATAAATTCATTAATTTCTGTTTTTCTATTTTCTCCTTACCATTTCCCTTATTTAAAATTTGTTTTCCTATATTTGATCCCTTTTACAGGAAAACAACTTTACTAACAATTGTCACCCCAATAAACTTTAAAAAAAATTGTTTTCCTAAATTATTGAGTCAAATGCTCCATTCTTTTGATTTTATTCTTTCTATCTTCTTGTAATATATGGTTGGACTTATATTAATAAAGATAATTGTTTTTTTTTAATTGCACCATGGATTTCTAGTTAAGGATTAACTTTTTGTCCACCTTTTACATCAGCTTCTAATCTTCTCAAATGTACTCCGATCAAAATCCTTGGTTTTATCCCCATTACAGGGTTGAGTCCTCTCTAATACTGTTAAAACATAATTATTCTAAGACATATTAATGAGGGGAAAGCAAGGTGGGAAAACAAACATAAACAGAACTCTTTGAAACTCTTTAAGCTTTATCCTTGTATTAAATTTGATCACCAGAAAAGCTCAACTTCTGGTCTTCGCAAAGTTACAGTTTCATGTTGAAAACTTTTGGCATTTTTGTTTTTAATGAAACTGCTTCAAAGACAAGCTCCATTAAGCTGCTCAACACCCTTTATGTAATGACTCTTGTGACAAATACCTCTTGGAAAAGAGGATCAGTGAAGAGGAAATGTTGTTGTGACCTGGAAAGGTCCTTGTAGGCAGAGAGGACCACATAGCGTACCCCGGATTTGTGTTTTCTCGGCTGTGCAAACCCTAGTGTAAAGACTTGCCTAAGTGCTGTTGCTTTTCTCAGGCAAGGTGATTTTTCAATTTTTCTGTTCTTTGCTAGCAATCTTTAGACTTAGAACATCTATCCTGTGATTTTTATTTTTTATAAGCTATTTTAGCTGAAGGATGAAGATGTTTACTTTTGTAAAGTCCTTTTTTCAGTCAGAATTTCTCAAACCTTTCTGACCGTTTCTCAGATCTCTTTGGCACCACCCCAGTTCCCTGCCCACACCAGTCACCAGGGCTGTTTCTGACTCTTCTCAACTGGGTCAGGAAAATGGATTAAATCAATAGTTGGTAGAAGTCTTTTCTTAATCCATGTATCTAAAAATCTGCTATCATTAAAATTTTATATAATATCCCATATCAGAAACATTAGTATACTAAAAGCATTTTTTATATAATCTAGCTGTAACTTGCCTCATTTAAAATAATTATTCCATATGATGCTAAAATGCAGTCAAGTAATTTTTGGTTTCCTAAGGCTTAACTGAGTAATGTAGACAGCAAAATGCCTAAATCATGTAATTAATACTTTCATATTTATTAAATGGTATGATTTATATGGATAACAATCAGTTTTTTGTTTAAATTTCCCTTATTTTAGTTTCTTATTTAGGACAGTGGTACCTGTTATTGATGATTAGTTTCTAGATCAACAAAAGCTCAAATAACAAGTCAAACTTTTTGATTCAGTAATCTGAAATTAAAGTGGACACATTCAGACATGTCAAATGCCAATTCTTCATTATTGGAATGTGGTCAACGAATACATTTTTACAAATTTCAGAAATGCTTCGAGCCACTGATTTTTCTCAGTACCTTTTCACTAAGGGAAGGAATAATGTGCATGTTTATTACCATGTTCTGCTTTACGGGATTTCTAACACATTCATTCTCCTGGAGTAAGGAGAGGGCCTGTGAGGTGAGCGCCCATCACTGCAGTGATGCTGATCATACTCACTACTCTATGTTCCTTCCCCTCTCCTTCGAAGGATGTCCGTTCTCCCTGGCACTGAAGGACCATCGCTGTCACTTTGCTTCTCGATGGCTGTGATTACTATCTTAATGCTCTTCTGGGATCTCGTGTGATTTGCTTACACTTGAATTTCAGCAGGAATTGCAAACTGAATCCAGACACTGAAAGGGACCTGCTTAGGACTGAATCAGAATTGCCAGTGTGTGTGCGCGCGCGCACGCGCATGTGTGTGTGTGTGTGTGTGTGTGTGTGTGTGTGTGTGTGAGTGTGAGAGAGAGAGACAGAGAGAGAGAGACAGACAGAGAGACGCCCCAGGAAAACTCGGTTTTGAGCTGTCATGCTCAGAGCTCTGGAACCATTCACATTCTGAAGGTGCAGGACGGGGACTCTGAAAGGCCCATTTCCAGAGGAGGGACGTCATATGACACATAAACTCCAGCACTCACTGGAATTAAACAAATAATGCCACACCGAATTTGACACCAACGAAAAACATTACATTCTGTCCTCATTTTAATCACCCTATTCAGTTCTGCTTGCATGTCAAACAAAAACTGTTATTACCGCACTTTCATAGTCACGGAATTCTTTTACTATGATGAATGTTTGCAATTAAACTCTATTTACACACTTGGTTAATAAGATTACAGAAAATTACTCACATTTTTAATTGATTTTTTCTTTCTTTTTTTTTTTTTTGTTTTATTTGCAGGCCTGAAAATGTCTAAGCACATTGATTACGGTCAGTTGAATGCATTATGCCACACCAGAGGACTACAAAGCAGGTAAGATATTCATGCATTTCTTTTTTGTGACTCAAACGAATATTGATATGTTTATTTCATGGATAAAGTATAGTAATAAACCATTGTTGACTCTCATAGATACCTGATTTACCACACAGATAAAAATATTTGTGATCATGGTATCTCCCCTGCCAGGTAAGTATCAGATAAAAATATTTGAAAACCGGAGGTTATTTCTTCAGGTTGAGGAGGCAGAATATATATGTCATATTTTAGGAAAACAATTTCCTGTGAAACAAACATAACTCATCCCCAGCCAGGTCCTTCAGAGTACTTAGAAAGCAGCCACAGGGGAAAAAGCTTTAAAAAGGTGTTGTGGATTAGAAAGCACAAATTGGCAACCACAAGATTGCCTCTGGGATATGAAAGACAGTTTGAGGAATATAATCAATAGTGTTGTAAAGATTTTGTAGAGGGTCAGATGGGCACATGTCTTATTAGGGAGACCACTTCATGGACAGCGTAGATGCCTGACCACTGTGCTGTACACCTAAAGCTGAAGCTGAATAATATTGTATGTCAACTATAATATATATATATATATATATATATATATATATATATATATATATGGACACAAGATGTGGAGTACAGCATAGGGAATACAGTCAATGAAATTGTAATCGCTCTATATGATGTCAGTGGGGCAGTAAATTGGGGGAAGTGGGGTTATCACTTTGTGAGGGGTGTAAATGTCTAACACATTGTTTTCTACACCTGAAACTAATAAAAAAAAAGGTGTGTATTGGTATTGATATGACTTCAAATCCACCTGTTTATAACTTAAGTGAAGCTGTTTTGATCCACCTGTTTATGACAAAGATAAAAAAGGTTGTTTTTAGAAGTAAAGTTGTTTTGTTATAAGAATAAAGTAAATGTGTCAGGATGTCATCGTGTCCTGTGTTGTCACTGAGCAGTCTGCAACCCAGCTACAGAGGGGCCCACCTACGGGCTTAGTGATAAGATGACCTGGAGAGCAGCTATGGCAAGGGGATGAGTTCAGACTATAAATACTGAGAATTTGTGATTGGAGAGTTTCACTCTGGGCAAGGCACACTTGGCTGACCCAAACAGCTCTCTGAAGATCGTGAGAGTCTGGTTGGCAGTGGCCCTAAACCATGCAGCAGTCTCAGGAAGAGAAGGGACATCTGCTCCTGTCATGGCCAAGCTGACTCTTTGGTCAGCAGTGGCTCAAAAGTGTGCACTGGTCCCTGGACTGATAACCTTGGAGCAGCCTAGCCTGCCCACCAACACTGGCACCTTCGTTCCCTAGCAACGTGCTCTAGTAACAAGGGACTCGTTTTTTGCGCTGGCAGCTCGAAGTCAGCTCTTGGTTGGTTAAAGCTCTCCCAAGTGCTTCCTTAAAAAGGTCCACTTCTGCTAAATTTGGACTTATTCCTTTCCTCTCCCCTTGCCTGGATTAATTTATTATTGATTTTGAGTATCTTATTTCTTTATTGGTTTATTAAGAGACATCATCCTGTATGCTATTGGCTTGTGACATTTCCAGAAGGAACTTGTGTTAAATAAATTGCTGGCAAACATAAACTCAGTCTCTAAGCATAATTCGCCACCCAAAACAAAGCAGAATGACTGAAATCACAAATCCCGAGTATATAGGAGATGCCTAGTTGAAATATACTGAAGTCAAAGAACTGGAAAATATCATGACTCAAAAGCTCAGAATTCCTAAGATAGGTTATATTTGAAGATATAATTTTAAGACAATCTATTTTCTTGCCAATGCATTCACCTAAGTTGGATTTTTGAAATTATCAAACTAGTTAGTTTCTTACATATCCATCAATGTTTACCCTCCCACCTCCCTCCATTAAGAGAGAGCCTATCCTCATCTTTTATGGGACTGCTGAGAAAATGCCCTAAGTATGCAGACTTTCTCTAACTTCAAACATTTCTATATCACGTCCCCTTAACCACTTATTTCTATATTTTCATCATCTTCCTGTTCTTCATTTCTCAGAGAAAGGGAGGGAGGCGTGCTTCTCTGATGTTCCTAAGGATTTCTCCTGAGAACGATTTTCTTCTATGCACGTCTGCCTCTCCTTACTCCAGTGCCTTTTTGCATAGAATACAGAATTAAGTGCTTGCACTCTGGAGTCAGGCTGCCTGGTCTGAACACTGGCACAGCCATTTACCAGCTGTGTGATCTTGGACCAGACTTTCATACTTCTTCAAGCCTTCGTTTCTGAATCTACAGAACGGGGAAGATAGACTATCAGCTAACATAGTTGTTGTGTAAAAGTTAAATGATCTGGTACATGTAAATGGCCTAGAATACTGCCTGGCACGTGGTAAGGACTAACATGTTTTATCACTTAGGGGGGTGGTATATCCAGAAACTTAAGAGAATGAGTTTTTATTTCAATTTAGTTTACATTTGTACCCTGTGTATTCTGCTTCCTAATTATATGAATTAGGCAAATTATTAAGTTTTCAATTTCTGTATGTGTGAAATGGGCAATAAAGTATACCAATCTTGTGAGGTTATATAAATATACAATGAGACAAAAACAATGTAAACATCTTCGTATAATGTTTGGCACATAACAAATATACGATATAGAACAGGTAAATATGTAAAATAGATGATTATAGAATGTGAGTTCCAAATAGAAAAACAAAATAAAAGGAAAAAAGATCTTGGGAAAGTTTCCAGTGATATCAATGGTTAGATTTAAAAAGAGTTGATTTTTGGTCAGTGTATCTCTATAGTGAGAGTAGGATTGAAAATGCCAAATGCCGTATTAAATTACATTCATGTTGCATTATTTGAATCAGTTAACTTAAATAGTATTCTTGAAATATACAGTAGTTATTTTATTTATAGAATTAATAAGGTGTTCTAGGAACTTTGGCCAAGAGGAAAAAAGCTGTTATAAATATTTTACTATGAGTTACTATTTACATTGACAATGAAATAAGAAAAGCCTTCTCTTAAGAGTTTTTATATTCACTACTATGAGGCAAATATTGACTAAAATGTTTGTCATTGTTCAATGTTAAGTATGATCATTTTTGATAATTATTGAAATAAGCTGTCAAGATGAACGTTTAGCATTTTTAAAAAGTTGATCAACTTTTTGTTGTGGTTGTCAACTGAAAATTGAACGAGGCAGATTTTCCAGAAACAAATGTCATTACCTGACACAGAATGACTGTGGGTCTTGTTATTGACATTTTAAATATTTGCAGTGGATTGAAAACTGAGCCCACTCAGACTCCACCCTTAGAGATCTTGTTTCATCAGGAAAAGCATCAGAAATCTGCACTTGTAAAGGCACCCAGAGGATCCCAGCCATCTGCTGGATTTGGGAAATGCTGGTCTTTTGGTCAAACACATCTTTATGCCAGCCCTAAAAAAATAGTGCACGCGATTTTCATAAATCTTTGCAAAGATTCAGATAAATATACTTTCCAGTAATGTATATGTAAATTATATGAATCACTTTGGAGGAATTTTAATTATCTGGTATATTTTATACCAGACTTTAATCAATTGCAGAAATAAAAATTTTAAGAAGGCTCAACTAAAAATTAATTTTTTTAAAAAATTTTTATTTAAGAGTTTATTTGAGCCAAACTGACAATTGCTAGGGAGCAAAATCTTAAATGCTCCCTTAAAATTAAATTTTTAACATAGACATTGCCATAAATTTGATATTCTTAAAATATTTCTTACTGTAGCACACTATAGACAATTTTTATAGTGGGTATTTTTTAAAGCATAAAGTATGTTTCACATTTTTGTTATTTGCTTCTTATACTAAATAGTATAGAATTAAATTGTATGTATTGAATTAAAAATCTTTCCTTTGGAATCTATTATCTTTTTTAAATTATTTATTTTTTCAGTTACAGTTAACATTCAATATTATTTTATTTTAGTTTCAGGTGTACAGCATAGTGGTTAGACATTTAAATAATTTAGGCAGTGACCCCCCTGACTAGTCCAGCCCCTACCTGGCACCACACATAGTTGTTGCAATATTATTGGCTATATTCTGAATGCTGAACCTCACATCCCCATGACTGTTTTGTAACTACCAATTTGTATTTCTTAATCCATTCACCTTTTTCACCCATGGAAGCTATTATCTTATGATACTTACAATTTAATTTCTCTCTCTCTCTCTCTTTTTAAAGCTGGAATATGTGCACCATCCTTTCAGTTGACAATAAGTTTATAAAGCAGTACCCTAAAATATTTGTGCAGGACAAAATGAGACTGCCTAAACTTTTCAAACATGAGGGACAAAGGTAATGATGTCTTCTTTTGAAAGTAGGGTTGACGTATGTGTGCACGCGTGCAAAAGAGAGCAAGTGGAACTCAAACACTGAAATTATGTGATTAGTTCCCAGCTGGAAACTCCATGCTGGAAGCAGCCAAAGAGGTGGAGATCAATAAGGAAGGGGGGATTCATACAGTAACTTTGGAGGAATTTTAATCACGTGGTATGATAATTGGGACTAATGAATCTGTGTTGCTTCCTGAATATTATCATTAAAATGAATAAACAACTAGCCTTATGTAATAAACATAATAAGAAAAAATACTATTAGGAATGAGAAAGATAATACAATAAATGATAGAGAAAACTAATCAATTGTAAATTATAATGTAATACTTTATGTAACAAGGCTAATTTGATAATCTAGATGTTATTGGTTAATTTTCTAAAAAATATGTACTAAATTTATTCAGGAAGATAGAAATTTAAAAAAATGATGGAGTAAGTAGAAGTTGTGAAAATGACTCTTTAAAAGTATTTTTTGAAGCAAAAAAAGGTGAAAATTAAAAACCCATAGCTCAAGTAATATCACTAGAAGTTTCTTTTAAGAAAAGATAATTTCTATGCAATTAAAATTTCCTGGAGTATACACATTGAAAAATAGGTTGTAAGTTTGCCATGGACACATAACCCTGTTATAAAAATTTAAGAAGAATAATACAAGAAATACCAATTATAGTTATGACTATATAGGCAAACATACAAAATAAAATATTAGCAAATGAAATAAAATCATATTAGCAAATTTGTACATCATGGTTAAGTTGGCTTCATCTTATGACTATAAAGAAAGTTCAACATTAAAAAAGGTATAATTTTATAATATTAGTAGTTCAAGGGAAAACTATTGGGTCATCAGGAAAGTCATGACGTATTTTTCTGTTTTTCAATGCAAAAATGTGTTATGACTTTCCCCACGACCCAATATATGATACCATCTGTAGATGATGAAAAGGCATTTGATATGATTCAGTATTCGTATCTTACAGTGAAAGTAAAATCATGCTTTTACCTCTAATGTGTGTAGTAAGGTGGCTGTTAAGAAACATTTCTATGTTCAGCCAGAAAGTTGCAACCTGCTCTAAAGTAGCAATAAAAATATCTTACCTGTATTAAGAAATTATAAATCTTCTTTCAGCTCTGGTCCTAATGTAATGTGAGGTACCCACACATGCCCAGAAGATGGGAACAGAGCTCAGGCAACTCAGAGAAGCTTTTGGCAGCATGAAATCTATGAGGAAACATGAATCTTAGCAGACACTAAATGCCTACACTATTAAAATGATTAAGAGCCTATCTCTATTATCACTATCATATTCAACACTTTATAATTCATTTAACACAAATATCATGTGACAGATAACTATAGCAAGACTTTGAAGAATGGCACCTGCCTGGCTGTGGGCAGCTGGTGAGAATACCTGAGGTCAGGGCATTTGCTGAATATTGAAGGAAGACAGTCATGTGCCAGGACTTTAGAAGTCCTTCAGAAACCATTAGCCGAAATGGAATCAGAGGGAATCAACAGCAGATTAGATGAAGCAGAGGATCAAATCAGTGATTTGGAAGACAAGGCAGCAAAAACCATCTAATCAGAATAGCAAAAAGAAAAAAAAAATTCCAAAAAAAAGAGGCTAGTTTAAGGGAACTCTGTGACAACATCAGGCGTACCAACATTTGCATCATAGGATTACCAGAAACCATTAAGTCCACCAGGAGCAATTAATGAAAATAAGTGGAAGTCCTGGCTGAGACACAGGGAAACGATTGTGAGTACAGGACAAGAATGAGATGAAGGACTGCTTGGAACCATGATCATTATCTAAAATTTATTTTATCCATGGATCAAGTAGGCCAATCCTTTGTAGACTAGTCAGAACACCTTGTTAGGCAGCCAATAGGAAAAGTTTTAGAGTAACTTTGATTTTTGTCTTTATAAACTCGGGCCTCCTTTGTCTTCTCTGGAACACCTTTCAGGTTTCCTTTTGAATCTCCAACTCCCAGTTTCAAATCCCTAAACACTCCAGATAGATTTTTGTTTTACTTTGCAGCCTCAGTTCTTTCTTATTTGATTCTATTGTGATTATTATTCTGTATAATGTTTATCTTATATTTAACTTTTTAAATCTTCTCATGCATATTAGTAAAAGTGACTAATCTATGGTCATTTGGGGTTTTATCATCTCCTCCACAATTTTTTTCTTAATGATGGACAACATTTGTTAGATGATTTACCCTTAGATTTTCAGTGACCTCTTAAATAGGAATGGTTGGAACTAAAGAAATGAATTGGAAATGGTCATTCATTCATATAGCTGTTGGGGACTTAAGTATATAACATATTGTAGCACAAGAATACAGCATGGTGGCTGGTTTTAAGATGTTCATAATTGACCAATTGGAAACAAAAGTTAAAAAAAAGTACTTATACCATTGGTGCTAAAAAAAAACCCCCGCTGAAAAACAAATGTTTGGGTGTAAAGAAAAGGGCGTTAATAATTGATATTTGAGATATTTCCTTAATTATGTATACCTAACTTATGAAAGATGTTTCAATCACTTAGAACAGTTTTAATACCTATAATCAAATTCTGTGTGGAGAAAATATTTTATGTGTGCTAATTTTTAGACTTAACAGAGTGATGTGCTTAACTGCACTACTGATGACTAAAAAGAAAAAACTAAGGCATTGAAAAGGAATACATTTTAATAATATATTAAAATGCCAAATTATTTCAGAACAGTGCATTTCTATTCTTGACAGCAAAGTAAATGTGCATGTCAGTAATTTTTGTGTGATATGCAATACTGGAAAGTATTATGTTTCCTTTTCAGAAACTCTACTAAAGGCCCAGAAGAAAGGCAGCCCCAGCGAGCTGATGGCGACTCTCACAATATAGCTGTCTACATTAAAAAAGCACGAGGGGGCCACAGTTTATATGGACCCAAAGAATCCGAAGAGCAGTTAGAAGAAGTATTGGCTATCTTAAAGAAATTGTAAGTATTTTTCACATATTACTTCTTGTCGCTTAAGAATTCTTTTGAACAGCTTCTTACGTTTTTCAATTAGTTGTTTGCAGCTAAGTGTAGTGCAGCTGTAATCTAGTGCTAATGGTTCATTCAGGAGAGTTGGAGATACTGGAGACTTGGTTTCTAGATGAATGCAATCCTTCATGGCATATTGTGGATGATCAGTGATCTATCCACTTGTGGCACATCATTTCAATTTTAAGTTGCAAACAAAATGGGTGTTACTTACTGATTATGTTAAATCAAAATTATGTGTAAGATTTTCTTAGTTTATGGTTACTTGTCAGTTCTTCAGAGAATTTAAATGGTCTTCCCCATCAGAGGGATTTTAAATAAACTTACCTCATATTCCCTTTAATTTCCTGGAGTGCTTTATGGTGTGGTTAGGGCACAGCCTGAAGAGGAAGGGGGAGGGGAAAAAAAGGGGAAGGAGAAAGAAGGGGTTAAACCTGAGTGGCATCCGGTTAACCAGAGATGATACTGGATTTATGATTAAAATTAAAGTTAAAAGGGAACCCTGAGAAAAGGTGATATTGGAATTGAGATTGACAACAGGAAAAACAAAACAAAACAAAACCAAGAGTAAAAGTGTCAAGACTAGAATTGCACATGAAAGACCAATAACATGAATGAAAAATTAATCTGGATTTATGCTTAGAGAAATAAACTAAGAATTTTATGCTAGAAGCACTTTTCTTCACAATTATAATTGCAAATTAGAGAAAATATGATCAAAACGTCCAGGAAATTTGAGAATGCTCAGATGCTTTTGGCTTATAATAACAAGAAATAAGTGCAGCAAATACTAGTCACTTTATAGGGAAACGGGTGTGAGTGTTGCAGAGAAGGAGATCACAACCACCTGCCATACAGGGGTGTAATTAAACTGGTAAGTTGTAAAATAGGAAATCTAACTGGAATGTGTTCAGGGAATATGTTAAAAGTATCTACTTTAACTAGTAGAAAATCACTAAAGCCCTGAAAGTTATAGGACCTGTAGGATGTTACCGCCACTTCCATTCCATTAAACCATACTGCTGATTCAAATGACATTGAATTACACATTTTCAGTGTCTAGACACCCATGAACCACTCACTGCAGATTTCAGGTTGTGCTTGGCTGCTGGACTCTCTGTGGTGATTGAAATCCCTGTCTTTCTGAAAATAACAGTGTAGGAATTTCCATGTAACAGAGATTCTGATCTGAGATGCAGAGGGGCTCAAGTGGCTGTGGTTCTCCCTCAAGGTGTAAAAATACCAGGAGGTCAGCCAAGGCTGAGGTCAAGACCGAAATTGCGAATGGACATGAGTCCAACACCGTGATTGCAGTGGGCTGAAGTGAGAAGCAGGATCCACGGTAAACGGATGGCATTTCACAAGAGAAAGTATTTCAGAAGAAGGGGGCGGTGAATCATGAATACACATTAAAAGCTAAACCATAACTGGGATTTTAATTTCTAAATACTTTTGATTGGTTTTATTTTCACTCATGAATTAATGCATTCAACATATACTTTTGAACTCATATATTTTTGGCAATATTCTAGGTGTTGGGACTGCATTGCTGAGCACACACTATCATTGTCCTCATGGGGCGTTTACATTCCCATGTAAGAGAGAGAGAGAGACAGAGAGAGAGAGAGAGAGAGAGAGAGAGAGAGAGAGAGAGAGAATGCACACACACACACACACATTATGTCAGTGGCAAGTTCTAGGAGGAAAAACTAATGCAGAGGCAGGGGTAGAGCATGGTGGAAATAACCAGACAAGTCCTCTCTGAAAGGTGACTTTGATCGGCTCATCAAAGGTGGGAGAGCTAGCCAACCCCCTGTCTTCGAGGAGTGCATTCCTGGCAGAGGACCCACTCGTGCAAGGAGGGCAGGGTTGGCTATGCGCTTGAGGGCGGGGCAGAGTTGGTGTAAGCGAGGCCGCAGAGGTAGGAAGGGACCAGCTCATCTTTCATCTTGCTGTGCCTGGCAGGACAGCAGTGACACGTTAGGAGTGACAAGGAATGGGTTACGTGTGGAGAGTTGACTGTGGGTGCCGGGAGGATATTTCTGGCCACCACCAGGAGGCTGTGTGGGCTTGGTCCAGGTGACCGGTGACCGTGGCCCCAGTTCTGTTGTAGGGAATTAGAGTTGACATGGAGAACTTGATTCTATTTCTGCTTTGAAGACATGAGCAGATGTGAGTTCACAGCCTGGAGGCATTAGATCCTCTGCTCAGCTGACCGCTGACAAGGAGAGTGCTGGGCGCTCACATCTGCACTTGACTGCATTGCCTGTAACCCCACCCGCTTGTAAAATGCAGTTATAGGTTGCTTTGGTGACAATCATTGGTTTCTTTATAAGTGACTAATTTCTGCAAACAAAGTGGCATGCCTGTGTATTTGTGGGGGTTGTGGGAAGGGTAGGAGAAGAGAGAAACTTCTAAATGAGCTGTGAAAAGCAGTTTAAGAGCCTCTGAGGAAACTTGGCCCGATTGCTTTTTCTCCGGCTTTCTCCAATTAAAGATGTTTCCTTTGAAGGAATGAGGCATCTGAAGATCATTATGTTTCCAAGGAGCAGTGAGGCGAAGCCACTTCTTAGGGGCGACTCGGAGGAATGGCTCCCTGAGAGCACATCAGGAGTTTTGCTTTGTAAATGCAGGCTGTTTAAAACCCAAGAGCAATCTGGTTCTTCCACTGCTGCCTCCCAGTGAAGTGGCGCAGAGGAGAGGAGCAGCAATCTCAGACCGTATGCGGCGGTGGATGCAGATGAGAGGAGAACTCTCTGTGCTGCTCTTAATGCTGTCCAAAATACCAAGTCTGGAGGAAAACCGCCTGGAACTGGGAGCCTTCTCCTAGGAAAGAGAGTCTTTATCTGAAGCTAAAAGGGAACCTAGGTTCATAAAGAATGGTGTGAATACTAAACGTCATTTAGGTTTCTGACAGACACCGATCATCTGTGACATAAGAATGGCAGCTCAAGGAAGAGAGTTATCTGTGTTAAGGAGATGGGTTAGCTAGGTGAGGGATGAGAAACCCATGGGCAGCAGGCTCCACTGGAGAAGAGGAAGGCGGTGACCTTGGCCTCTCTGGCAGTGGGAGGCAGAGTCACATCTGGGAAGCACAGGCTGCAAAGTGCCTGCACTGGGGAGTCAGAAGGAACTAGGTTTGAGCTGAACTCCTCTAAATACTAGTTGTTTGACGTTGGGCAAACCCCTACCTCCTGATACTCAATCCACTAATGTGTAAGATTATTAACCTCATAGGATCATGTTGTGAAGCTGATATTAAGTTAGAAGTGTAAAGCCTTAAAGACCCTTCGTACATGTCTTTAAAGACCCTTTCCTATACAGTCTTATGCATCTTGAGAGGTTTTTTGATAAAAGACTTTGCTATGTATTTCCTACAGTTGGGGTGCAAAGGGATTCCTGGTATCTCAGAATAAAATGGGTTCCAATTTTTTATTTCCTCAAGAAAAATATGCACATTTCTTTTACAGTTTATGAATATATAATAGCTATTATTTATCATGTATTTACATTAGTTCACAAAGTTGCCAGTGATATTTTTATACTGGAGTTTCAGAAACTACTATTTGGTCACAAATTAACTAACATTAAAAAAAAAATTTACCTTTATACCTTTGTTCCATTGTTTGGAAATAAGCAAATATCCTCTATTATAATATTTCTTGTAAACATTATTTTTTCACTGTGTAGATATGTTTTAGTCCATTCAGGTAGCTATAACAAAAATACCTCAGACTGGGTGGCTTAAACAATGGAAATGTGTTTCTCACAGTTCGGGAAGCCGGGAAGTCTAAGATCAAGGTGCTGGCAGATTCTGTGTGTGGCAAGGGCCCTCTCTCTGTTCATAGATGGCCGTCTTCTTGCTTGTCATGCTCACAGGAAAGAAGGGGTGAGAGGTCTCTCTGGGGTCTTTTTATAGGCACTAATCCCATTCCTGAGGGCCCCACCCTCAGGGCCCAGTCACCTCCCAAAGGCCCAACTCCCAAACACCATCACATTAGGGATTAGGATTTTAACATATGGATTTTGGGAGGACTCAAACATTTAGCCCATAATAACATGTATGTTATTTCAAAGTACCTGTGAATGTTAAAGCTGAGACTCCTTGTTTCGGGTGAGTATTTCATGTTTGCATTTCAAGTTAGAATCTTTTTTTTTCCCCATTGAAATTTACCAGTTTGTGTATTTTCTTTTTCCTTATTTTCCGGTTTACCAATTCTCCCTTTAGCTGGGCCAGTGATATTTTTGGGGTGTTAATCTCATTCATACAGTTCTTAATTTCAGTTACTGCATTTATCATTTCTAAAAATTCCCAGGGGACTCTTAGAGTAAACAGTTCTTTAGCCAAAATCTTCATATTATCATTTAAGTCCTTAGATATTTCTATCATAATTATTGATCTGTAATGCAATTCTATCACATTTAAAAATTATTATATACTTGGGATAACTATTGTTTCATTGAAATTTGTCTAGTCTTATGCCAATTTTGTATGGATTTAAAAATAACTTTAGCTTTATGGTATGCTTTGATATCTGGTAAGGTAATTTCTTATAATTTTGGAAATTTATGACATCTATAAAATTGTATCTTTCTCATTCAGGAACATGGTATATATTTTGCATTTATTTTACCCTTTTGTGTGACTCTTGTTAGAGTTTCATGTAGGTTTTTTAAAAATATAATTTCCTAGGGCCGGCCGAGTGGCGCGTTGATTAAGAGCTGGCTTGGGATGCCAGAGGGCCCCGGTTCGGATCCCACATGTGGAGGCTAGTGACACTGCCCTCTACAGCTAAGATGCTGAACACTGGCTCAACCTGGGGCTGGGCTGCCGTGAGTCACCGGCGACGGCAGGTGGGTTGCCATGGGCTACCGTGTGTAGCCAGCAGCCAGCGTGAGTGGCCAGCAGCCGCCATGAGCGGCCAACCAGAAGCTGGCACCTGGTCTGCCTC